GAGACTATAAATCCTGTACATATTTATTTTGATAAACACTGTATACCTATTGTAGATGAGCGTAATCGCCTGGTCAGGTCATATGGTCGCTGCGCTAAAACTTCTAACAAACCCGTAGCGTAGGCACCGCAAATGATTGCGGTAAACCTTCTAACAAATAACATACATTTCACTGAAACAACTAACATCTTCTCGAGGACTTTAAGATAAAGTAGACCAAATACGATATGTTGCAAACAGAAATGCAGGTACTGTATTCTATGACTCTTAAGTCCCTTAACATTTTAGAACACTTCTTTGAAAGACATTTTGAAGTTGTGGCACAAGGAAGGATAAGAATATATGGATGAACATCATCACTTGCTTGATTACGCTGTTAGAGTGAGTGAGTAAGTTTAGTTTTACGCCACACTTAGCTATATTCCAGCTATACGGCGGCGGTCTGTAAATATTCGAGTCTGGACCAGCCAATCATGTGATCAACGGCATGAGCATCGATCTACGCAATTGGGAACCGATGACATGTGCCAACCAAGTCCCTTTACTCGCCTTTTAAGACAAGCATGGGTTGCTGAAAACTAATTCACTCAGCTATATTCCAGCTATATGGCGGCGGTCTGTAAATAATCGAGTCTGGACCAGACAATCCAGTGATCAACAGCATGAGCATCGATCTGCGCAACTGGGAACCGATGACATGTGTCAACCAAGTCAGCGAGCCTGACCACCCGATCCCGTTAGTCGCCTCTTACGATAAATAAGATGTTCATCAATATATTGTTAATATCCTTCCTTTTCAGAACACTATTACAGATGATACTGACAAACGTTAAGAATGACAACTTCTTTTATTTGATAACTTAAAACAAAATATGGATAACAACGTCTTTTTGGGGACGTTATCAAAGAAAAGAAGTTGTTATCCATAAAGTTTGTCACTATTGGACTTCTCAATTTCTAAACTGCCAATCAAAGAAACTATTACAGATGGACCAGGAATTTGCATTGGTGCACGTGATCTTAATTTATCTTTTTGAAAGATTACAATGACCTGGAAGTTATTACAAATGTTATAACAACATCGGAAAAGAAAATACTGAAAATGTTTTGCTGGCCAAACCGAAACATGAGTCTTATTAACCTGTTCAGACAATGACCTAGTTTTCAGCCGATCCGAAGTTTCTCGTGTGAAAGTGAAAAGAGACACCACAAACAACTATGGTTAGACTGAATTTCAATTCCTTGTCTCATAAGAAAATGGTATTTACAAATTAATTTTAATCTTAAACTTTAATAACATCTTATTGCTATATTTTATGGCGAAGTGTAGGCAGCATGACCTTAACTAAGACGTCACAGACTGCCCCTGTTTGATGAGGTCGTAAAATGATTCACAAGTCATCTGGCTCACTGGTTACACCTGATATGTGTTTTTTGCGCTTATTCAGTGTAGTTCTGTAACGCAAAATGTGATTGATATAATTATTCAAGTCCGTACCAGACCGCCAAACTGTTCTAGCGACAGAGCCTAGTTTTGATATTTCTACGATTTCCAGATTTGCGTTTGTCAGAGCACGCTGTACGACAGAGCACGCTGCACTACATGTTTGCAAGGATTAAAAGGAGCGTAGTGTTGCAATATACAAGTGTTTAGATGTATCAAATAATACTGATTAATATTTATGTATCCAGTTGAATTAATTGGTCTCAAATATCTGGACTGGTTATTGTACTAAGTTGCGCAACAGGACGGAACCCAGTCAGCAGGAAAAGAGACTGTTGTGTAATCAATGTTTTGACTTGGTCATCTGTCGCATGTGATGTGTAAGCTAACCATCATGGCCCACACAGTTCCGTATTTTGTCGCATCCTCAGAGCTATGACATTGTCTAAAACGTTTTATGAATAGATGGGTTTTGTTCAAAATATATCTCGACAACAAATAACGACACGACACTCCATAAACACATAATACTAAAAATTAAGTGTCACAAACAATTACTGTTGCATCATATGCAGTTACCCGTACAGATCTGGTCCCCGTTCCTCAAAGCGATCGTAGCGCTACGACATTCGTAAGTCTATGTTATGAGATAGTTACGATCATCTTAGCGCTACGATCGCTTTGTGGAACGAGACCCTGGCTTAGAACTGGTTTTCAGCAACCCATGGTTGTGGTAAGAGGCGACTAATCATGTGATCGGGTGGTCAGGATCCTTGATTTGGTTGATGCATGTCTTCGTTTCCCAATTGCCTAATATTGTCTGATCCAGACTCGATTACTCACAGACCACCATGTAGCTGGAAAATTGAACAATACACAACAACAGCAATGACATCATTTAATGGTTCTTTTATACTGTTGGCACATCGTGGCGTAAGTGCAGTAAACCAGTTTGGCTCCCCCTTTCATTAATGTGACAAATGTTCAATGAATAGCGGGGTTTTATTAATATGTTAAACTGCGCAAGGATCTATATAATAGTAATGTATAAACACATATATCAAAACTGAATTTTTGCAGAGAGTTGTAAACAAGATTTTAATTGCATGAATTCCCTTAACAATTACCCATAAACCCTCATGCGCCAAACATTTTACAGAACTATTGCAAATAGACCACAGCAGCCAATAAGATATCAGAATATTTTATAAATGTACCATATGCTGCTCTGAAATTTAGAAATTAATTGTGTCACAGAAATGCTATCAACTCTCAGGCCACTTAATCCTATGAAACATGATAATAAGATTAATAATACAATAAAAACATCCAACGTGCCAAAATATCTGTCCATGATAAAACTGATATTTTGCAGTTTTAGACTAAAAACCTTAATACTTCAGCTCCAACACATGACTTTTTATTATCTTATACTGCTGTTGAGATTGACGAATAGTTCCTACACTTTCACACACTGTTTACGACAAGAAGCTATCCTTCCTGCTGTATTATTAAAGTAGATATAGATTATTCCACTACTAATCGACTGTTGCCAATATTTTTAAGACTTAATGGTTTCTCTCCGGCTAAATCAAGTAGAAAAACACAAAAGAACTGTGTAAGAAGCTCATTAAGGAATAATAAGCCATTCAGAGATTGCCTGTAACTATTTGCTGTCGTTAGAAACAATATGTTCTGTAGGTTGCGTGCTTTTGTTATGACGCTGAAGCTTTATATATGTACGCCTAACTGGTATAACGTGTTTATATAGTCTACAGTCGTACGCTGTCTGCTTACCCTGTGTACCTTAAACAATAACAGCCAGCAAATATACTCTAAGCCAAAAGAAACCATACACAATTATAAAGTGGAATTAATGTAACATATATCTATGTTTTAACACTTTCTGGCAGTGTAGCAAAACTAAAACCAACGAGGGGGTATTTTTGGATGTGACAATTCTGATCATGGCATCACGTACAAAAGGGCTTTGACCGTGAAAGCCTGATACACTTAAAACACGATATTATTTAAACAGTGGGGGCATGAAGGCAGTGCAGATATTAGCTGTGGAACTGAAATGAGTGTGAAAACATTTTGCCAATCCAAAGAATTGAGAAAAAAGGCTAAGTGATACATAAAAGAACCTTATACTTTTGCAGTTGGATCTTATGAACTGAACGAGATATCATGGTGTTCGAAGAACGAGTTGTATCACCCCTACCGTGACATCTTAGAGTTCACGTCCATGGAGGTAGCAAAGGAACTGTAAGTCCCTAGGTCCCTAGTATGGTGATCTACCTTCAATTGTTGGCGATCTATAGCCCATTTTTATACTGAATTGTCCTAATTTGAAGTCCAATTTTAGAATGAGATGCTAGTTTTATTTCTTGATAGTGATAGTCTAGTTGTTTTACTGTCCTTAGTTGACAGGTGTTTATAATTTACTTTGAATTATTATAAATCTATAACTTGATTTAGTCACGATATGGCTGAAATATTGCCGATGTGACTTAAAATCTTAACTTAGAGCTCAATACATATGGGCCACATGTACACGTATGGCGTTCAATATTTGATACACATTCTTTTCAAGACACAGACTGTTTTAGTCCAAGTCTACATGTCACCGTTGCAACGTCCCCATTGAGATCGCATTTCTTCACCTGACGTCATCAATCATGTTCCAGGTTCTGATCACGAAAGAAAGAATACAAAATAATATTGAACACGAAACAAATTCCAAATAATGACAGTAATAGTTCATTTAGAACATTCTTTAGTGATCACTTTCAAATGTTTTAGAAAAATTGTATACGGTAGGAATGGAGTAGTGCCGAACGTTGGAAAACCTAGATCCCACATACATCGGACTGCAATACTGAACTCACGTAAGCTCGCTGTATCGCGTGTCTGTATTGTTACAGCAAGATGAAATAGCTACGTAACAATGATGGGAGCATGACTAATTGCAAGTCTGACGAATTTTCGGCTGTACCCGCACTACTATCACAATGTTCATGACACGTTGTAGGCACACCGATCATATCATGAGCTGGTTCAGGGGTGGAAGATAAGCCTTCATAAAGACGGGTATCTACGTCTCATATTCCTGAATATCACATTCGCCACAGGGACGTCATCGTCAGCAAATGCTCTTGGACATCATGTCAGTGGAAGAACGATATTGAGAAGACTTTGGCAACTTGATATTCCTGCCTCCAGGCCGTACGACGAATAGCTTTGACACCTCAACGTTGGGCCATAACTGGCCATAGGCAGCTTTCTTAACAATGGAAAAAGGAAAGCCAGGTATATTCTTAGAAAGCAAACGATATTCTGAGAAACAGATGACTGAAAAGGATACAGGCTGTGAACGACTATATGAAATACGGGATGGCAGACGAGGAGCTACAACCTTTTTAAGAACGGGCCAGGAATGTCAGTTATGCTAATTAGATGTTACATATGTTATATTTGGGATTACACTTGTAATTGCAGCTGTACATCACTAATTAGATGTTTATATGATTGTGAACAAGCAGAGCTGGACAGTTTGGTCTGGAACTGAGAGTTCAGGGCCACCTCCTGTAACCAGCACCAGAATACATTGCTGTGAACCCACAGATGGACTTGGTTCTGGATTGAAGTCATGTACCCCACAGCATCAACTTTTAGAGGCGTATACTTGAACGCTTACTCTCTTTTAACGAATGTCGATTCAAGCTCCTCAGTCATGCGTCCGTATTCAACATTAACGGGAGAGCGTGTCATCTGACGATGTTAGCATCATGGTTTGGATCAGCAGAAGACGGATCTCGTAGTTTTAAACGCCCGTCGTACAACACAAGGGTGGGGTCATTCGCCCAGCTCTTCTTCCATACAACCAACAAAACCCTCGAAAGATATTCCAGCGAGACAACGCCAAAGCAACTCACCCAACCCTCATTCGCTATATACGACTTTATACGTCTCACCGCTGAATGATCATGGAAATGAAAAACTTGTAATTGCAGCTGTACATGTTTTAACGCTATTGAAATGTTTCCAAATCGGATAACCAACTGTATGTCGTGTCTTGTAATTTCATTCTTCAAAAAATGGTTCTTTGTTAAGGAAGCAATGAACCTGAAACGTTTACACATACAGACTATGTACTGGACACAAAATCGCTGAACCTTGTCACTTGTTTTAATGACAACCACTTTGACATCAAGGGTAAAATGATATCCTCCGACAAAACAGTAAATTCGGAACTGTCTGGAATTATCGATCTCGTTAGGGCTTCTAAGCTATGAAATGACAAGTAAATGGACATGTAAGATTTCATAAAGATGTGTTCCATATAGTTTCTATACATTGAGACGAGTACAATGATCAAATAGTGTAAAACAATATCGGACACCTTACTCTGATAAATGCAGGGCGCGTACATAGCATGGATCAATAGGCAGTTGCCTACTGAGATGGCGAGGTCGATATGCACTTAACATGCTGTATGCATTCTTTCAAAGACGAGTTCAGAGGAAGTTTAGACTAATGTTAGAGAATGTTCCATTCGAAGACATCGGCTTTATATATGTGCTGATGTTTCAGTGACATATGTTGACCTATCTGCTGGAGATCCTACACTTACCGACAGTATCTTACAGAAATTGTTAACATCATGACTGAATCTTTTCTGCAGCAGTTGTTATGCCTAATGGTTATGGCGTCAGCTAAATATCGACAAGAGTTTTATTCAGTTGTACGTGGATATCGTTTGACAAACCCACCAATGTGGACCGTGAGCTACAAACCAACAAAAACGTTTTCAGCATGGTGTCTCAAACACTGTCTGGCGTTATCGTGCGCAAGTGCTTCGTTCTGTCAAAATGAGGGTATTTGTGAACTCCACAGCCTGAAGTTGTACGATAGTGATTCAACATTTGTGGAAAGTAATGACTGGATGTATATGGAACCCAGATCAGGTTTGATTTTGATGTTTGTCTATATGATGTCTTATAAGCGACCGAGATAGTGTTAAGTTAAATGATCTCTCTGAAATGTTAACATCGTTTTAAATTACGATTTTTCTGAAAAATAGGGTCCGAGGCTGGATACCATCCTGGAGTGTTTCGTGAAAATATCACCATGTATTTCATTATTTTACTTTTTATCGTACAAAAGCGCTTGGTTTAGCCTGCTGTGTCCTTATCAATGTCAGGCGGTGGGGTAGCCTAGTGGTTGACGCCGAAGACCCGGGTTCCATTCCCCACATGGGTACATTGTGTGAAGCCCATTTCTGGTGTCCCCCGCTGTGATATTGATGGAATAATGCTAAAGGTGACGTAAAACTAACTCACTCACTGAAAGCAATGCCTGTTGCTTAGTTTGGCGCATCGGGAAGCCTAAAGTCGCCATGCTTGGTGACAAGAGACATACTCAATGAGAGAAGTGGTGTGACAATGAAACAAAAACTATCAATATCGGGTGTGACCCTCATTTGCGTTGATACAGAACGAACATGGAAGCCACCAGGTGATTGAAAACAGCACATCCTTTTTAGTTGAACTTTCATGATCTTTGGTTTTACATGATCTTACAGATGACCTGTTGACCTGGGACGGATGGACAGTGGTTTTCCGGGCCCAGAAAGACACAGGGACGTCTATCTACTCAGCATGGTTGAACGACAGCCTCTACCACGACCACCCACTTCTACCACCTCGACTGAAACCTGGCTGTTTCTCACCCAACACATCTCGTCCATGTGAGGATCATTTCAGAAGCAAGATTATGTCTGCATGGGACACGGCTGGTATACAGCTGGTACGTACACAATTATTGCCAAAACGACAGTGTTAGGCGAACATGGTCATCCATCATGATGATAACGATGTTATTCAATGGTTATACATACATATCTGGCGTATTTTTCGTGTGTGGGGATGGGACCAAAATGGAGACCAAAATTCGAAAACCGATATTTTATCATTTCTTATTGAAATCTTTATGTTACTTAAGATATATAGAATAGAATAGAATAGAATAATACTTTAATGCCTTTTCAGGAATTTGTGTTACGTCAGCAGAGCTACTGACACATTAGAGAGATACAAAACATAATTACATAAATTCATTGATTTAGGTATCTTCACATTTATTTAAGACAGATATGGTACTTGGAATAAAGGATGTACGGGCTCTCTTGGTTTTCACAATTGTAACTTTGTAGCGGCGGCCTGAAGGGAGGAGGTTGTATTCCGATTTTAAGTAGTGAGTACGGTCAGATATGATTTTGACAGCTTGATTCACGATTTGCCGCTCATATATCGATGATAAACATTCAAATCTGACTCCAGCGATTTTACTTGCAGTGTTAACAATTTTGTCTATTTTAGATTTTAGATGAACTGAGAGAGACCCGTACCAACAATGGAAGGAAAATGTTAAAATACTCTGAATAAATGCTGCATAAAAAGATGACATCACAGATGGATTAACATTAAAAGATCTCAGTTTACGCATGAAATGAAGACGTTGTTGACACATTTTGCATAGGGCTTCAGTGTTAGAGTTCCAGTTCAGCTTAGAGACAATGAAGGTTCCCAGATACTTATACTCCGACACTGTCTCAACACATTCACCGTTGATTATCACTGGAAGCTTTTCTGTGGGCTTACTCCGAAAGTCAATTATCAGTTCCTTTGTTTTTGTGACATTTAAGAGTTAGTGGTTTGCTGCACACCAAGTCGTAAAATGATAAATGTCCTCTTTATACAGTTCTTCAGAAGCAGTGTCGTTCAGTTTGCCGACAATTGCTGCATCATCTGCAAACTTTACAGTTGAACAGATTGAATTCGAGCTTGCACAATCATTAGTGTAGAGGGTGAAAAGAACAGGAGATATTACACAGCCTTATGGTGCACCAGTGTTGGTGGTCCGTTTACTCGATACAGCCCCGTTAACTTTCACGTACTGTTGTCTGTCCACAAGAAAGTTTTCGATCCACTTGATGAGGTATGAGTTAACGCCCATGTCTAACAGTTTCTGTATCATGATATGTGGCTGGATGGTGTTGAACGCAGATGAAAAAGTCAACGAAGAGGATCCTGATGTATGACTTAGGTGTCTCTAGTTGTTTATAGACAGTATTAAGGAGTGACAGTGTGGCATCAACGACTCCTCTCTTTGACCTGTAGACGAACTGAAGCGGGTCCAGTATGTCGGCAACTTCCTGTCGGAGATGTCTCAACAAAATGCGTTCCAGCGACTTCATTGCTGTAGATGTGAGAGCAACTGGCCTGTAGTCGTTGAGTTCTTTAGGATGTGTCTTTTTAGCAACTGGTACAATTTCTGATGTTTTCTAGACCGAAGGAATAACGTGTGTATTCACTGAAAATTGAAACAATCTAGTGAACACTGTACACAGTTGAAGTCTGCACTCCTTCAACACAATGCCGTCAAGGTTGTCAGGTCCTTTTGCTTTCCTGATGTTAATTCTGAAGAAGCTTTGAATGACGTCAGCTTCTGATATATGGATACGACTTTCACTATCCTGTACGGTATATATATTAGGTACATGTACACACAGCTTGTTCAACGCCATAGCAAACTATCGGTTTTGACAAGACACCAACATTCTAGATCGAACAAGACAACCTTTGGATACTTGATGGGCATTTAGAAGTTGAAGGTTACATAACAACGTATGGTTTTTTGGATTCACCTGATGAAGGGGCAAGAAGAAGCCCAGGAACGTCGTAATGTAAATAATAAAGAAGTTGTAAATCCATAGCATACGTTGTTAAGACAAGCTTTACCGGGAATTCCCGTATTTAGGCCCACGCGAAATTTAGCCCATGGGCTTAAATAAGGATTTAATTCTTGGGTGTTTAGAGTGACGTCCCTTTCCAAACGCATGGCGAACCTCAACGTTTTTACATTAGTAGTGCCTCTGCGATGTTATCACGTTTACAGAACATTTTGGACACCAGTAACAGGGCAGTTATTAGTGACAGACATTGATCATCTTAACTCATATGATGTGCATGCAGTTGCAGTTAAACTGAACCTTGTGGTCATTCAATTTTGTATTTATAGACCAGTTTCCTGATAAAAGAGTTTTAAAAAATACGATTGTTTTTATTTTATCAAAATATTGCGCATTTTCGAATTTAAGCCCTTGGCTTCAATATGGTTAAAATAATTCATCACTAGAACAGTGATTTTCCGTATTTAAGCGCGGGGCATAAATACGGGAATTCACGGTAGTCTGAGTAACACCCCATGCCAATGATATAATCGCAGTCACAGACCAAATCATCAAATCCATTAGTGTGTGTTCGTGCTTGAATGCGTGCATATGAAATTTTATCCTACAACATTATCAGATTTATTTTTTTTCAGGTGAAAGTTCTGCTGATGAAGAACAGTCACGTTCGGAATGAAATTATCTTTGATGGAACCGGTAGTACCAAGATGTCCTGGTTTACACCAACTAGGGTGATCAATTCAACATGGACGGATCTCACGACGTCAACTTCAAATTATTTCAGCATCGAGGGGTAAGCATTCAGTCTATTCATTAAAGATCGACCATTTTGGATGCTGTAGCGAGAGCTCCCATTGAACATGCTTTAGGGAGTATACACATGAACAAAAATGTCGCAACTCATCATATCCCAATGGCGTAGATCGATGTTCATACTGTTGATCACTGGATTGTGTTTTCCAAACTCGATTATTTACAGACAACTCCCATATAACTGGAATAGTGTGCATTTAACCAACAACAAACAGTACCTTAATGAGAACATAATTTCTTCACAGACACCTTTACACACGTCGTTTCCTGATCAGCCATCTTTACGGTCTGTGTACCACTGATGTGATATGGATGTCGGTTGTGGACGGAAATGATCAGAGTCACCCGTGTTCCTGGGATAACCCGTCAGTCTATCCCAAGCTGCTCTACGCCATCAACAATCAGAAGGCGGCCATAGGGACATTAACAGGTAATTCATGACTGCAGGTGTACTGTCAATACGTGTGACAATGAGTTTAGTTTTACGCCGCTTTTAGCAATATTCCAGCAATATCACTGCAGGGGACACCAGAAATGGGCATCACACACTGTATCCACGTGGGGAATCGAACCTGGGCCTTTGGCGTGACGAGCGAATGGTTTAACCACTAGACTTCCCCACCTTCCCGGCAATACGTGTATATGCGCACACACTCATATCACCTGAATACGTATATATTGTTTAATGTGAACAATGATATTCGTCCCTTAATGCTGGTTCCGGGTCGTATGTCAAATCGGGAATGTAAGCGAATACCAAATAAACGAGAGATTGGTCCTAAATACGATATGCTTCCAGCAAGAGGTGATATGTGTGCTGGTTGTCAGGTTCGGGGACTTAGGTCATTTGATGACATCGTACTGTGACGAAAAGGCTGATTGTGATACCAGCCGATTGCCTCCCCTTAAACTCGGGTATTAACATATTGCTGTCATATCGCTGGAATATTCGATAAAAAATAATCGAACATTTACAAAACATCATAAAGGTTTGGTTTCACAAAGTAAACAATCGCTTGCTGTCATCACTTTCAGTGATCCGTTCATATCATGTCATCACTACTTGACCCTTTTCGCCCAATGGAATCTGTGTCGACATGTACGCGAGGTTTAACAGTATGAAGATAAAATACACGGTTCTACCAGGGACTGTTTGTGTAGATGTACATCAGTTTACGTTTCAGTTAAACTATCACATGTTCAATACTCATGTGTATTCAACAGCCCCATTCTGAATTTGATAGATGCCTTTGTTCCACTGCTGTAAAATGTTGCTGTTAACTATTCAACGTAAGCTGCAGGTATTAACCATGCTTCTTTCTTTTCAGATTTCGAGTATGGAGATGTCATGGCGATTCTTGTCAAATTGGGCAACTAATGTAACGACATGCCATTCCCACCAGTTGCTTGGTTGTAGTTCTCTAGCCTCTAACTGGATGAAGAAGGGCAAGTCAACTACACAATGCCTTTACCCCTGGATGAACAGTTATTTTTCTGACGAATATTTTCATAAGGTCTGAAAAGACAATGTTGTGCGAGAATTGCGCTCGCGCAACCCTGGATATATCTGTGGCTATAAAATCACACAAAAATGTAGGATATTAAATTATTTATCTGATTATATAAACTCAAGTGCAAATTATTCGGCGGCTTGAAAAGTAGCCAAAAACAAGTGGTGTAATAATATACTTACAGTAAATTTCTCCGCCTTTTTATTGTAAACCGATAAAGCACTTGTGCAACGATTGTTTTTATTTGGCATCTTTACTGAAATTGTCTGGGAGCACAATACTGCCTCATATACCTGAATGACGTGAGTGTATTTCAGATGGATTTGTGTGCTTATGTATAACGTTATACATTCATTATACAAAATGGCGTGCCGTAATGGCCTGCGTGATTTTCCTCAATGACGTCAAACGACGACAGAGAGTCACACAGGTATAAAGATAAAGGGACATAACTCTGCAGTGCATTACATAAGGGCAGAATGTGCTGTGGATAAGGGTCAGTATATTTTCATGAGGTTTTCATGAGATAAACCAAACTATTCCAGTACACAGATCCACATTGTAATGGGATAAGTTTTGGTAGTATCACAAATTACAAGAAATGTTGAACTCATACAACATGGGAAATCGCGTAATAGTGATTTGGATGCCCTAGATAATATGTAAGTTAGTTCTTAGATTCCCATATTCTCCTGTTTGTGTAGATGAGTGTTTTTTACTTATTTTAGAACATAATTAACAGAGAACCTGCCATATCTTCTAATGTAATGAAATTACTGAAAGGATTCACCATTTTAGTTGACGTCATGGCCTGTTTTATGTTTTTTACGTCTGAGAAAAACGACGCTGGTCAAGACCGACAGATTGTGCACAATCATCTGCAGGATCGCTTCACCAGAGTCACGGAAACAGCTCGCCAGACCACTGGGACTGACAAGAGACACATTAGTGCCGATACATTAAGTCGACGTTTGCACGAAAGAAACCTCTACTGTCACAGACCATGTCGTGGTCCTGTCCTCGCCGCTCGTTACCGCCAAAACCGACTGCAATGGGCAACTCAGCATCGAAATTGACGTTATCGAGAATGGAGAACTGTGCTTTTTTCTGATGAAAGCCGATATTTTGTTTCGACAACCGATGGCAGAGTGAGAGTATGGCGAAGGCATGGGAAACGGTTTTCCAATGCGTGTATTGTTGAAAGAGACTTGTGGGGTGGTCCAGGAATCATGGTGTGGGGTGCAATCGTTCTGAACCAGAGAGTTGGCCCCGTGGTGTTCTAGATGCCCATGGAGGCCAACACGATACTGACTTTGAGGTATCTTAGTGGGACCAGTTTTGGTGAATTTGTTTGTGTGAACTCTAAATGTGATTCTCGAACATGTGTTAACCATAATTGTCACATTTAAACGCAATCCTCCGTTGTGATTGTTAATTAGAGCGAAATTAAAGTGTGTGATTTAAGAAACCTCTATCGTTTCGCGTTTCTTCTGCAGTTCAGTATAGTATTAGGCTCCGTCCGTCCGTCAGTCCGTACGTACATACGTACGAATTGCAATCGCTTAAGAACCGTTGATTAGATTCATCTCATATTTGGTACCTGGGTTCGTGACAGTATGCGAAAGGCCCGAGTCGGGTTTGGTGACCTTGACCTTCACTTCAAGGTCACATGTGGACTTTACCTTTGTCAGCAAGATATCTAAACAAACGTTCACCGGATTTTCTTCATATTTGACACCAAGCTTTATCTAGGGAAGCCGCAGGGCTCAGTTGATTTTGGTGACCTTCAAGTAATTTTGGTCAAGGTCACAGCGACACTGAAGATTTCAGCATGTTAACCTGCATGTTAAGATTGTCAGCAAGGTATCTCAAGAACGGTTCACTGGATTTTTTTCATAGACTTTCAAGACTTCTCTTGAATGTTTTCGTATAAGCAATTTCTTTATAACTATTTGGCATAAATAGTCAAGGTCAAAGTGAATCTTGAAAATATTTGTGTTTGAACAGCTACAGAACAATATATCAAGAGAGGTTGACTTGTAATGTTTTTGTTGACATTTAAATTCATCTTAAGCAACAACCTTTACTATCAGTACTTTTTAAGTTTTATTTGATAATTTGCAACAAAGTGTTATGTCACCTTAGTGACAACTGCTTGTTGTTTATATTTTTGGGTACAATTATTGTAGAAACAAACAGATTAATATTCGGTCATCACAATATATTATTTTCGTAAATATGAATTGATTATATTAAGACAACAAGAGGTCACATAAACCCTAGGGGGTACAAATACATAAATCACTAACTGGCATCGTTGTAAATGAAACCCCGTCATTAAAACTACTCATTTCGACCTTTAATTGACTTAAATCGACCTTTTTGACAACAGTGCACAATTCTCACCCGCGAACGAAATTTCAACCAATCAGAGCGGTTCGCCTCTGTGACGTCATATGAGGAATAGCTTTGAGGGCCGATGCAGAATTCATCTACATTTTAGGGGTTAAATTATCTTGTTTACAGGGTTGTATAAACCTGAAATCGTGACAATTGTTGTGGAAAATGAAAGCTATATGTTCTCACAATCTACTGTCATTTAATGTTGTCTCCTGCTTTGCCTAGTTTCCGAGTTACAACTTGTTTTCATAGACGATTCTGTCAAAATCGATTGGTGTCGTTAGGCCCTATTTGTGAAATGACTGATCCAAATTGATCCCATTTCTGTGTTTTTTTACCTCGATATTTAATCATGTCATGTAAAAATCTGTTTGTATTCTCAAAACAGTGTCGGCCCATAAGTTTTCACATGCAATACAGCAATTAATACTCCCTTGTTGTAACCCGTGTTAGGTGGTATAAACCTACACATGTTATTTGTCATCATTCACTTGATGGTCAGTTAATGAATTTATAACAGGTATAATTAGTGGTAACACACTTAGATTACCCGACAAAGGTTCCCATTTGGCATTTCTTGTGTCTGGAGTAAATATTCAACATTATAAACATCGATCAAAGGATTAACCGATAACACGCTGATTGATTAATTACTTTTATCTTACACAGCGGAATTGTCAAAAGGTAGTGTTTATGTATGTAGATTTACTAATCTATACTGAATACACTCTGTCGTGTCGGAGTCTGCGTAAAACAACGTCCTTCTTTCAAAGGATTAACCGGCAATACATTGATTGATTGCCCATTATTGGCTAACGAAATTACTGTTTTAAAGAAAGGCGGACATTATGCAATTAGTTGCCAGGTGTGCTATCTTGGGTGACCAATGAGACTATACACCAATACCTGAAAAGATTTATCACTTTTTCGTATATTAAACTGTTAAAAGACACATCATTTGGAACAGTTTTGTGGATATTGATGGATACATTCCTCGAACAAGGTAATGGCCTGATATTGTTCCTATAACTTTAATCTGTTTTAATTTTAATACTAGTATTTGCATTTTGTTTTATTCATTTGTCGTAGCATTCAACAGAATCATTGTTTTCGCCGTGAAGTGAAATGAGACAGACAACATGCACTAGGGTGTGTGTGCGAATTATGATTCACATTGGCAAACTATATAATGTCTAGATATTACAGTTCTGTTATAAATTCACTATAAGTATCAGCAGATCGTCTGCTTTTATTTAGTTTCAAAATGCATACAAGTATGATAATAAACTAATTAGGATTATAAGACCATATAAAGACGCACATTGACTAGTATCTACATACTGGTGAGTGGACATTAACCATGGAATGTAGCAAGAAATTTATCGCGCAGTATTGTGACTTCGACCCCCACCTCGTTTCCGTGGAAGAAATCGTTATGTTATAAGTTGTGTCATGCAAAATCCGTTTGGTTATGATTCCAATACATATTTAACTACGAGTAGAAAGTAGTCTTGATTTTCTAACTTGATGAAAACAAACTATAATCTCATTAATTCTAACAGATTTTTTAATTTTAAAATGGCGGCGCTCTGTCGGGAACATCCGCCAGTCTGAGGATAAATGGTATTTAGGTTTTTTTTCACCGAGTTATAAAAATCAAAACTACTTTCTACTGGTAGTAAAATATGTATTTGATTGACGGCCAATAGGATTTTGCATGACATAGCGTATAACATAACAATGTCTCTCGTGGCAGCGAGGTTGGTGTCAATAATACTACTTACAATATTATTGTTACTTCGACCACAACCTCACTTCCGAGGAAGAAATCGTTATGTTACAAGTTATGTCATAGAAAATCTTTATGGTCATCAATCATATGCATATTTTACTACAACTAGTAAGTAGTTTTGATTCTTTAACTTCCGTGAAGCGATCTGAACACAAGTAAGATATCGTTTCAGGCTTCCACAACGCTCGCTTCGCACTCACAAACATAACCCATTTAGCACGAACTGCGGGGTCCTGTGGAAATCTGTGCATGGGGACACCATCGCCCGACCCTAGGAGCAATTGACGACAAAGCAACGATTCGGCATGTCGTCGTTGATGTCGAGAAATCATCAAAATGATGGGCGTGCTACACATTTTCTATACAACTAACTGAAAATCGTTCCTCATATGACGTCACTGCAGTGCTCTGGCGACAGAGTTACGTAACCTGTCTGTGGTTTCGTTGGCGGGCGAGAGGGAAGCAGGCGACTTTTGGCCACTTTTAATCGCTCGGTATTAATTAACCACAAGTTTTTAAATAATTAAATTGGTGTTCCGCATAAGACTAACCACAAATCTTTCATATGTAATGGTTAAAAGAGTAACAAAAACAAAGTTTAGTGGTTCTTTAAGACAACAAGAGGAGTAACTCGTTGAACGTTTGTGACAATAGCGTTGCGCACAAGGCGAATCATAAGAAATAATAAGTCCATAACCTGTTTATGTATATGAAATTACAACAGTAAATAGACAAATGGAACTACGTATATGTTGCATTATGTTTCGTTTACACCTGTGTAAAGGTGAAGAATATGGTGTTCTTCGATAAATGTGTCAATTTCTCATGTACATCTTGTTCAACAATAAATCCAAAAGATAAAACTAATTTACAGCCATCATCTATGATATGATATTGTAAAAGGCAAAACGTAGCTGATAATGAAGTTAGTTTACCGAAACATACCTGAAAGATACGAAACATATACATCATAATAATGAAACAGTATGCGACAGAATCGGATTATTGTTATCATTAAATATCGTTGCCTTTCTGCGTCAGTCATTGAAAATTTGACAAGTTCGTATGAATTTTTCAAATCATTGGATTGTATCGATTTATAATTTGCTATTTCTTGTTGTAATACTGTTTCCATGCTTACTCTAAAAACTATTGAGCCTATGCATGACGAATGGATGTCTGAAAATTATAGAAATTACACAGAGTATAATCTGAATGTTTCTTAGTTAACATTCAAACAAGCGGATCTTTACAAGCACAGCGTTCGTTTTCACACCCAACATGTTTTGTTTGATTTCATCTTGACACTTTGTTTTGGTGACCGAACACCATTTGCTATTTGATTCTAAAAATGTATAAAGAATTCAGTGGTGTATTTGTTGCAGCTGAGTGAGAAATATACGTCATGTGAAATGGTGTCTCATGTAAGGCCTTCGCGAAACGTGATTTTGTAAACTCTATCCACTACATTGAACTTTAACTTGCGTTTTTCTTAATAGGAATCTACAACATTTAAACATAAGTTTACATGAATACATCCTTAACATTAAATTGTTCATATTATAGTTTTATATATCCATTAAGCGTACACATATACCCATGCAGTTCTGTGAATTTGAATTACTGCTTGCAAGATCTTATGTACATTCAGAG